AATTCTCTGCAAAATTACCAAGGTTCTTCCTAAAGGTTTTCTTCAATTGTTAAGTGATAGCATTGTGGTTTCTCAGTCATATGATACCTGCAGTACACCTCTCAAATACCTGTAGGATACACGTGAACGTCCAACACCCAACAAGATAACAGCGTAAAGCAGGCGGTATTTCTGTAGTTCCAACACATGTCACCAAATCATGGAGAGTCTAGCTGTGTCTCAAACCAAGGCCTGAACCCTGCCTTCGTGTAAGCATTTGACTCATTTGAGGCACAGGCGTGTTGCATGCTATCATAAAAGGGGCCACAACTGAGTATACAGAGAACATGGAGAAAAGAGAACACAACTATCCCAAATCTAGCTTGAAACCAAGTTCCAGCCATACTAGCCATTAAGTATTCTATCACAGACTTTGCTTGGTACCTCTAACTTAGCAGCGCCTTGGTAGGAGGATCTGAATAGCCTGGAGCTTTATAAAGCTGTTCAAAGAAGCTGGAGGTAAACTTGTATCTTCTTGGCATCAAACTTCTTCTTCTGTCGCAAGCAAGAACCCTCTAGGGTCTGCCTGGAGCCTACTCTGCTCTTGTGGTCAAGCTCCCCATTATCAGCTGAGTGGATTCCTTGTCCCTTAACTCAGATCCTAAAGGGCCACCATGATCTGGCCTGAAGAGTGGCTCGTGAGGCCACTGGACACTTGCCATTTCTAGCTGCGAGCTGCTTTCCTTCCTCAGCCCCAGCTGGAAGCTCATTTGCCTTCCTTGTTGGCTTGTGTCCCGTCCCTGGAAATGAACTCTCTTGTGGCCTTCCTGTTCACCCCGGTCAAGGGACATTCTCTCGTCTGCCTTCATGTTACATTGACTTCACGATGGGGGGAGTTCCAGGGGGCTCTTCCCTGTGTGCCTGGCAGTGCACGGACACTGAGTGACAACCCTGGAGAATCCCTGGCACCTGGGCAAGGCCAGAAATCCATGTTGGAACCAGGGAGGATGCCCGCCAATGTGCATTCAAAAGCAGCAGCTTCCAGATAGTGAAACTGCCCAGGGGTGGATTTTGTGGGGGCAGGGAGGGGAAGGGGAAGCAAAAAAGAACAGGGGGAAAACGATACTCGGGGGAAATCTGAGGATAGCCCTGGGACACCCTCTGTTTCAGCTTTTTTCCTCATCTAGCTAACCACCTCCTCACAGGAGTCCACAGGCTCTCTGGCTTTTTAACCCATGCGTATTTGTTTCTGTCTATTGGGATTGCATACATTAGGATTTCCAGGGACCCGTCATGTGTGTCTCCTTTCTCTGAAAAGTGCGACACAGTTGAAAATTACTTTGGCAACTTTGTGGTTCTAGCAAGTGCCGTGTGAGGAGCGATGTCTTCCTCACATTACTCCGTGATAATACTTTGTTCTTTTTGCAGAGTTTCAAGGTGCTCTTTTTCAAAATACAGTTGAATGATCCCACTGCCCAGAGGGTGTTTGCCATGTCCCATGCTGAGCATCCTTGGGGGAAGGATGGTTTCCAGTACGTAGTTGACCTTTGATTGACCAGAAATTTTGCCCTTGAAAAAAAGGACTTCCTCAGATCTGTCCTGGATGACGAAAGAACTTGTTATAGGACAGGCTGCTCCCTTAAGTGAAAGGAACATGGGAATCTTGCTAAGGAAGTGTGCTTTGTTGTAGCAGAGAATGGTCAGACTCCCACTTTTTGGTGAGGTTGTAATCCAGAGTTGAGACTGTGTCTTTTCATGGGGTGAAGACTCTATGCATATGGGCGTGTGTGTGGGTGTTTGTGTGTGTGTGTGTGTGTGTGTGTGTGTGTGTGTGTGTGTGTGTGTTCTGTGTGGGTGTTCTGTACAGTTTATATATCAACCAGTTCAAGATGTGGTTAGGAACCCAAAGCAAGAGAGGTAACTTTCACAGAAACCAGGGAAAATTAGCCAAACATGCACTTTTTTTTTTTTTTTTTTGTCTTACAGGCTCCTTATTGAAGACTGTTGTGTTTTGTTTACTTGGGTTTACTCAGTTTGTCTGCTTTTCTTCACACAAACCTAGCACCTCCCACCCCCACACAGACAAAACTAGCAAAACAGCAGCAGCAAAACTAGAAACCCACACCAGACAAGGTGATGGCATCGTCCAGATTGGTATAGGATGGAGTCTGTGCATTTGTCCTCATTCCGTGTAGGTACCAGTCTTGACATATTTTTTAATTCATTTAATCCCAGTGGCTCACAACCACAGAGTCAGGTGCGATCGATCGCAGTGTCCCAGGAGAATGTTCAGACGTGAATCGGTATCTGTGAGCGCTTTGAGATGCTCTGCCGTGTTAACTAACTGTTTCTCACCCCTCGCTTTCAGCTTCCCCGGCCAGAACATCCCCCCCACGATGGCCGAGGACAGCAGCAGTACCAGGGAGTGCGTGTCCTTCAGCGTGCTCAACTGGGATCAGGTCAGCCGGCTGCATGAGGTCCTGACTGAGGTCGTGCCCATCCACGGACGAGGCAACTTTCCGACCTTGGAGATAACCCTCAAGGACATCGTCCAGACCGTCCGCAGCCGGCTGGAGGAGGCAGGCATCAAAGTGCAGGACGTCCGGCTGAACGGCTCTGCAGCTGGACACGTCTTGGTCAAGGACAACGGCTTGGGTTGCAAAGACCTGGACCTGATCTTCCACGTGGCTCTCCCCACCGAGGCAGAATTTCAGCTGGTCAGAGACGTGGTTCTGTGTTCCCTCCTGAACTTCCTGCCCGAGGGCGTGAACAAGCTCAAGATCAGCCCCGTCACTCTCAAGGAGGCCTACGTGCAGAAGCTGGTGAAGGTCTGCACGGACACCGACCGCTGGAGCCTGATTTCCCTCTCCAACAAGAACGGGAGGAACGTGGAGCTCAAGTTTGTCGACTCCATCCGGCGCCAGTTTGAGTTCAGCGTGGACTCTTTCCAAATCATCCTGGATTCTTTGCTTTTCTTCTACGATTGCTCCAGTAACCCCATCTCTGAGCACTTCCACCCCACCGTGATCGGGGAGAGCGTGTACGGGGACTTTGAGGAAGCCTTCGACCATCTGCAGAACAGACTGATCGCCACCAAGAACCCAGAAGAGATCCGAGGCGGGGGACTTCTGAAGTATAGCAACCTTCTCGTGCGGGACTTCAGGCCCACGGACCAGGAGGAGATCAAGACTCTGGAGCGTTACATGTGCTCCAGGTTTTTCATTGACTTCCCAGACATCCTCGAACAGCAAAGGAAGTTGGAGACCTACCTTCAAAACCACTTCGCCGAAGAAGAGAGAAGCAAGTACGACTACCTCATGATCCTTCGCAGGGTGGTGAACGAGAGCACCGTGTGCCTCATGGGCCACGAACGCAGGCAGACCCTGAACCTCATCTCTCTCCTGGCCCTGCGAGTGCTGGCAGAACAGAACATCATCCCCAACGCCACCAACGTCACCTGTTACTACCAGCCAGCTCCTTACGTCAGCGATGGCAACTTCAACAACTACTACATCGCCCATCCTCCAGTTACCTACAGCCAGCCTTACCCTACCTGGCTGCCCTGTAACTAACCTTGAGACCCGAGGGTTCCGGCCGTGGGAACCCTGTAGGGCAAGGGCTCTCAGGTAGGGGGGCCTCCTCCTAGATGTAGGTGTTTGGCTTTTTAAAGGGGAACTCAGCTCTGATTCTGCTTTTTTTTTTTTTTCCCTTTGTGTACCCATTGGAATGGGTCTGCAGTAGATCATGAGCCAACCCTTTAAAAAAAAAAAAAAAAAGACCCATACAACAGTGCCACTTTGGAAAATGCTATAGGAAGTGTGACCTATCCACATCTTTCCAAGATAGACACTAACATGTCACCTTCCCAAAGGTCAGCACATGGGGTTTTGAGCTCTGTGCAATACTTGGGATTGGGAGTGCTTGGGCAGCAGATGAGAAGTGTTAAGCTGCTGCTTCTCAGCTGAGCCTGGAGGAGGGAGGCTCTGTTGGCCCTCACTCGGGATTCTCAGCAGTGACACGAACCTATGTTGTGCTGGTAGTCTCTCTCCTCTTGTGTCGGTTTTAGTCAGGCAGAAAACGATAAACATGAGGGTGCTCTTGTGACTCAATTTTTGTTCACAGGACTAAATTGCATATGTCTAGTTCCTGTCAGCAGAGCTGAGAATTTCTTTCATCAATAAACCAAAGCCAATAGCTGGAGACTTGAGATCTGGTTGGAAGTGGTTTATGGTTTAGATGCTGTGCTATCTTGAGGAATTATGAAATATTGCTGAGAGAGGAAAAAAAAAAGATGACCTTTTCTTGAAATGTAACTTGAAAACAAAATAAAATGTGGAACATAATGTTAAAGTAGAATTGTGGTGGTGGTGAGGGGGGTGGTGGATTGTAAATAGGAAATGTGAATGTCCTTTTTCTTTTTTCTTTTCTTTTCTTTAAGGAATTCTCATTGAATGACACTTTTCGTCCTCAGCTCTCTCTCGTGGATGACTTTTGTGTTGCTCCTCCTAAGGATGGTCAGTGCTGTTTCTGGACGCGTTGTTGTGACTGATGTTAAGGGTTTTCCCATGTTTTAATTGGAAACCCATGTTTTTCTGGAGTACTTTGGCTATTTTTTGTTGTTGTTGTTGTTGTTTGTTTGTTTTCTTTACTTTTGAAAAACAAAAAAAAAGTGATTTTCTTCTCCAGGTCTTCTTTGACAGCTAATGAATTCAGGAATTTCAGTAGAATTGAGTGACCTGTGGAAGTGCTTAGATTCTAACCTGTCCCTGTGCCACATGAAGGTGGGGGTTTAGCATTAAGTCTGGCCTTGTGTGCTTTCAAGGCAGTTTGAAATCATTCCAGTGTATTCGAGGAAGCATTGGGTGAGTGAAGAATTATCTTCCTTATTCTGGTAGATTTGACCATACTTGTTTATATTCTGCACTTTAGAAGGAAAACAGTGTTAAACTCTAGTCTAAAGCAAGCTTAGTCAATGGGAGAGATCTAGCCTACGTATTGCTTTCCAGAGTAGCTTTAGATTGTATGCTTTAAATTTTTTTGTGTGTGTGTGGGGGGGGATTTTTTTTTTTTAGAAAGCCTCACTTTATGGTATCAAGAGCAAAAGACAACTCAGTATTGCCTACCAGCTTGATTTCTCAAGTGATTGAATCAACCCTTTGCTCCTGAATTATATTTTCTCCTGTGGCTGTAGCAATGCAATGCCCTAAATGATTGCTTTCTCCTTGCTTTAAGCAATGAAGTTATCTTAATGCAGAAATGCTTAGTAGAAAAACGAGTGGTTGACCTTTTTCCTAAAGAGGTGTCTTCAGGTTTCTTCTGGAATGTGATACCTTGGTTCTCTTAAGGAAGACAAGATTGACATGACTGAAACCCCAGGCTTAGCTGGGGCCCATGTTGTGCTACATCAGGTGAAAAGAAAGCCACTTCTTAGTGGAACCAGCTTCTGTTTTCCTGGGAACCTTAGTCATATTTGAATTCACTGGCTTCGAGTCAAGCTCTAGGAGGGGGACGGAGGACCTGGGGTGCTTCAGTGTTAAGAGGTGGGCAGTGATCCTGACTTTGAAAACTACCCAGTCATTCATGACCTTAAAACGCTGCCATTGTGGTCCGATGACAACTGATTTGCACAAAAACATGACAAACTTGTTTAACCAAAGCTTTTGGAGTGTGATGAAGCCACCACCAACATAAGCACTTGGCTAAGAGAAATCAGTATGGCTTCGGCTTAGGAGGGTCGGGAACCAGCGAGGCCCCGGAGGAAGACAGGATCTGCATCCATTAATTAAATTTCCAGTTTGTCCTTGGAATCTTTTTTTTCTGCTTGTCTACATATTTTCCGATCTGTAACAGTCCTTCCTTGAGGACAAAGACAGGCACAGGAGTCGAGAGAAATCTCCCCCGCCCCGCTCCCAGCCCTTCATCGACATTGTATGGCGGGGTCTTGCTGGTCTTTTCACCTGACTTTTTTTTTTTTTTAGTCAGTCCAGTTGTATTTTTTTGTAGTTTGAGAACAGAGACATGTTGTAGAACCATCAGGGTAAAAACGCTTCATGGATCCCAGCTGTACTTTTAAAGCACAACCCCTGGACTAGTGGTGTCTCTGTCTGCTCTCTGAGCCTTTTGCCAGCCAGGTAACCTTGACTTTCAGATGTCTGGAAATTCCATCTGCTTTTCATACTGCTCGCACAAGCACCGGATACCCTGAACTTAGTACTGAGTCCAGTGGTTCCTATTTTTTTTTGTGTGTGTGTGTGTGTTGAATAACATGAAACTTAGCAGTGGCAGGGGGCACCAGAGTTCAAGAGCGAGCTCTAATCTAAATCCAGGCAGTCTTTCGTTTGCCTCAGAACTCTGAACTGCTTTCTGATGCCCGTTCTCTCAGCTCCTCCTTGAAGTAAAGTGGAGCAGGGTGAAAATGTAGCTTTTCCCCTGGGGACAGCTGAAGGGCACTCACTAGCTCCCTGGTCTCGAGTTTCAGTCTCACTCTTGAACCTTACCTTGGCAATGAGACACTATTTCCCACTCAGTAATTTCAATGCTGAAACAAAACTCTTTTTATCACTACCACCAGCTTCAAATCAGAGTGCCTGATGACTGCATGTGGGATGTGGCATGGCCACCCCTGGGGGCTGGCAGGTGGGCGAGTTGGGGAGGAAAGATGAAGCTGGGTTCCTGGTACATGGTACACGCTGGTTTGGCACTCAGTCCCCAGCCCCCCCGCCCGCAGTTTGATTCACATTGGGGATTGGAGTCGCAGCAAGCTAGGTGTGAACCTGTGTTTTGTGGAGACATGTTCATAATCAGATTGCTAAAGGCCTGGCCCTGCTTGTCCTTCAGCCTCACCTCTGCTCCTAGCCCCTGACCTTCACGGTCGGTCGGGCTTTCAACCAGCACTGCTTAGCTTCGGGAAATGGTACCACTCGCAAGCAACTTCCTAACTTTAGGAATAACTTCTCACTAGTGAACTTTCTGGTCCTGGTGCCTGGTTTTAGAATGCTACTGTGTTCTTAGCTCAAACATCCTCTTCTGGAGTGTGGCTTAAAGTATAGTGATCTAATCTGAGAAGAGACCCTGATGCTCACCACAGCCATTACTTGCTGGCATCAGACTGGGGCTCTGCACTAGGGAAAAACTCTTTGGATGGATTCTGTGAGTTGAAGGAATTTCCATTTTCCAAGGTTAGACTCAGATCCTTAACCTGGCAAAGAATAGAACTTCACAGCTGACTTTGGAACATATTCTTATTTCAATCAGTTGAATTCAGAGGACCAAAAGAGGGGTGTTGAAGAGAGGAGTTTGAAAAATACCTGGCAACTTTTTGGGATTATTTGTGGAAATCTCTAAGGAAAGAAAGGGCCCTTTTTGTGAGTTCAGGTGCCTACATCTTGTTTACCTATCACTTTTTAAAATATATATATATATATAGTTTAAGTGTAAGCTAAAGAAAATGCTTGGAGTTTTGCCTGGGCTATTATTGAGAGTTGGTACAAATTCTTTGTGTGTTGTGTTGTGTGTGTGTGTGTGTGTGTGTGCACGCAGGTGTGCACATAAGAAGGTAAGATGACCATCTACTAAAGAGGAAGTAGTTAAATAACCTGAATCTGTGGCCATTTTAAAAAACTCCAACTCTAGCTATCTGATCTGTTGTTTTTTCTTTTTTCTTTTTTTAAAATTTTGTGGATGAGAATTTAATTTTCCTAAAGCAGCATAAAAATATATCAAAATGAATGGATTAAAAGTAAGATGTCCAGCTGACTAAATTGGAAGCCCTTTTCTTATATATTTGCACAGCCTTGAAGTTTTCCTTAGCTGTGCCTAGGCTGTGTCGTTTTCCTCTTTGGTCATGATCTCTCACCTTCTTGATGCAGATTGAGATCACTTGTCAATGCAAATGTGTTACAACTTGATGAAATAAAGCTTTGAGTTTGAGAAATAAAGATATATTTAAAAAAAAAAAACCAACCTTGTCAGTGATGCTTACTGCTTTGTTTCTCCTCAATGGTAAACTTATTTTAGGTTTCAGGGCACACAAAGAAACGGGCAGTTATCACCATTATGGATGCTGCTCTCAGAGGGGGGAGGCATGTGTGGTTACATTGGAGGCCATAAATCCCTTTTCCAAGGACCCCTTTAACTTAAACTGAGCTTTGTTGTGGACCTCAACCTATTAGCTAGTGGGCTTGAAATCTGCCTTCCCTGGGATCTGGTTTGATCTTGTGCTCTTGGCTCCAAGCCCATTTCAACAAGAGAACCACATAGCCCCAGCCATAGGCAGCTACTATCATGAGCTTCTTCACATAAATGTGAGCAGCTGGTAAATGTTTGAAGCATATGAGGAGATCCTGTAGACCTTGGTGGTGAACCCCCTTCTGGATGCCTTTGACCCCATCTCCAGCACCTATCTGTCCAAGACTCACCTGTCGGAGACCCACCTGCCCTGTGCCTTCTGTGGCCTCCTGTGCCGAATTTCCTAACTCCTGTGGGATTCACCAAGAAAAGTGTCTTTCGCTGTTATACCCTTCACCCTCAAGGATGAACATGCTCCGAAGTCCTGGAAGGGTGGGGTCCTTCCAGATCACTTCTTCGGTGTGTTTCCTCAGTAACCCTTTGTCCTGGGAAGCCTTGACCTCTGCTTGCCCCTCTCCAGTAACTCTGAAAATGACTACCTCTGTTCTAGCCATCTACTTGCATTGGCTAGACTGTCTGGATCTAGAACTGCTCCCGACTGTCTCTTTCCTCCCTCCATGATCACAGAAATGGGGATCAATTGAAGAGCCATTTTCCCATGGATGTTTGCCTGTTTTCCATCATTTGTCTTGAGTACACCTTCTAAAACGGTCCTTGATCCACCCTCTTGGTTACCTTTATCTCCTGCTTGGCCTTTATGAATCTGGTCACTTGTCTATTTTTCTGGACTCTTCCAAGGGATCTTTTTAAAACAGGTGTCCCCCCAACCCCTCACATATTAAAACTTGCTGGAGACCTCACTGCAGGAGCCCATGTCAGACACCGCCACACACGATGTGTGCAGGCCTTTGTCACCGCCTGTCTACCTTCCTATCTTTTTAAACCGCCTCCTGCTGTGAGAGCACACAGTTCTTCCTGTGCATCCCACCACACAGCAGGTTTCTAAAAGCTCAGCCAAGTGTCACCATTATCTTCTCTGGCTTGGCCTGGGCCCTTCTCCCTTCCCCCCTTCTTGCAGTTTCTGTTAGTGTCCTTCACCGCGTTGCATCGGTTCCTGACCTATGCTGTGAATACCTGTAAGTCTCATTCTCCTCTGCCTGTCTCCCACACAACTGGCTGAGATTTGGTGCTTTAGTTCACCACTTGAACTTGGTGTTTTTGCCCCTGGAGGACTTGGTCTTAGGTCACTCACAACCAGGAGGTAGAATCCTGGATATTTACCTGGATGTGTTGTAATGCCTTCTTCTGGTGCCAGAAAACTTTTCCAAGCCAGGCATTGTCCAGACCAATATTTACACTCAGAACAGCTTGCGTGGGAAGTGATGGTGCGTAGTTCCCTGGAATGAGTAGTTGTGTCCAGGACATTGTAAGGCTATTGATCACAAGATGTGGGCCTCCTCCTCATTGCTTAACAGCTGCAGGTTTCACCCTCCACTGTGTTTCCTGACTCTCTACCACTCGATCCCCACCACACACTTGTCCTTCTGGTATTTTAGTGGACCTTTTCCTTGGTCACCTGCACGTGTGAATTCCTGAGCACTGCCCATTGCCACCAAATAACTAGGATCTCAGAAGTGCATTTCTGAATGCGCAGGATTTTTTTTTCCTCTTTCATTGCCCAAGGCATCCCTTAGGTGGGATGGTAACATAGGAGTTTCCCAGACAACCTCAGACTGAAGCAAAGGCCGTGCCCCAGTACTAGGGCAACGCTCTACTGACTCACCTGGTAAGTGACTTCAGCTCTGAATGCACCTATGACAGAGCCTGAGACAAGTTGAGGGTCGTGCCCAGAATGAGATGTAAAAAGGGAGCCCGATGGCCCCATGATGAAGTGTCCGCCTCCTTCCCTCCCTAAAAGCTGAGCAGGGATTGGTGAAATCAAGTGACTTCTTGCCCCAAGTGGCCACAGCAGAGATGGGCCCATAGTGCTGGTGTCTTAAGTCCCGGCTCCATGTTTCTTCCTGTGCTACAGGCTGTGTGGCTCTTCTAGGGTCAATGCGATCTAGAAAAATGTGCTGCCCTGGCAGATGAGCCGCATGCCTCTTGGCCTCTTGACTGGCATCCTTCAACAGATTTCTGTAAGTGCTGCCAAAAATCCAGGGAGGCTGGACCGTGTTGGAGGCTTGGTTTCCTGCCATCCCTGACCCAGCTCACAGCAACCCAGCCCACCTGTTCTAGCCTAAACCAGATCACTCGTATCTCAGTTCATGGGCATTTTCCCCAAAGCAGGTCAGCTCCTACGCTGTCTTTTAGTATAGGAAGTTTCTCAATAGGGACCTTAGGGGAACGGCATGAGAAGCAAGGGTTATCTGAGTTTTTTAAGATGCTCACCTGGGGAAGAGGTATCTGATCTTAGTGTGTGTTGAAAAAAAGAGATGGAGATCGGCAGCACCCTATCGACTTTGGCATGATTATTTCTAGACAATTTTAATTCATCCCTTTAACATGGATAGTGGGTGAATCTTTGCATAAGAGGTCGGTTGGAAACTAAAGTCGTGAGAGAGGGAATTTGTTGTATGCGAGTAGCACTTTAGGGTTCACTGAGCACACCATTACAATCACGTTGGCCAGTGGACCTCAGAAACCTGAGATAGGTAGCCATATTCCCACGGGACAGATA